TTATGTAAGTTGTAGTTGACTTCTTTAAAAATAGTCAAAGAAAAGAAACTCATGATTTTATCTCTCTATCTCTTTTCTTAAAGATATTATTTTACTTTTGATTCAAAATCTTCATCATATTATAAATTAGATTTTAAAACTGATCTTTTTCATCTCCTTACATTTTGTTTATCGTATATGAATCTTTTTGTAAGTTGTTGAATCTATCTCATAATTTTTTTAATCAAGTAGTTTATTTTATTAATAACCCGAGTTGTCCCGGGCATAAAAAAAAAGTTGTTTATTTTATTAATAGAATGTGTTTACTTTTATTTTTAAAATTTCAGAAAGATAGCATATTTGATTAAAAAAGATGGCTAATGATGCCAAAATCAAAAGATGCACAATGACGTCAAAATTGAGAAAGATACACAAAGTGTATCAAAAATTAAAAGATACACAAAGTATGCCACAAACTTAATAAGAAGCATAAAATGAGCCCACAAAAAGTAATGCTTATCTTTATTATACTTCTTAAAACTTAAGAAAACTCTTGATATTTTTGATACTTGAGCTTAAAAATTGTGATTCATGATCCACCAAATTTTGCATTAATCTTATATTAGATATGTTTTGTGAAATGAGTTTTAAAAAATTAGTGTTTCTGTTTCTAATTTATTCCTTGATTTAGATATAAGATTAAAAAGTTTTTAAGCCTTTAAAAGAACTTGAGCTTGAATTAATAATTTATGAATTTCTAACCTTTTAAAGATTATGCGTTGTCAATCCATTCCTTACTAAGTTTTTGAATAAAATTAAGAGGTAATTTTCTCATTTTGAAGAATATTTGATATTTTTTCTTTTCACTAGAATAGGGATCATGTTGTTTTTTATTTGTTTGTATTATTCTGATTGTTTATGCCCTCCTCTTTTTGATTATATCAAAGGAGGAGAACTTACTATTATATTTGTATATATTTTTATTTAAAAAAATAAATAAATAAAAATAACAAAAATTTGGTCTTCCCCTATTTTTAAAATTTTATTCTAGTGAGGGGGAGATTAAGAGAAAATATTTTTAATTTTATAAATTTAATCAGTAATATTTGTCATCATAAAAAAAGAGAAAATTGTTGCAACTCGAGCTTATGAGTTTATGTTTTTGATGATAATAAATATTATATCTCACTTTCTATTGTCTACTTATATTTTCAATATATATTTGTTTGTGTATATACTAACATTTCAAGAATACTATGCAACATTAAACAAAGAATTAGAGCTCAAGATTGGGTTAAATAATGTTATGTTGTAAAGGGTCTGTAATATTCATTGATGTAATTTTAATTTCTTGAGTCAAGTCTTGTAAGGGTATATGCTTGCTTGGTGATCATGCACACACACTCAAGGGAGTGAGATCCAATCAAATCCAGAAGATCAAGTTTAGAACTAATTGTACTAGACGATCCTTTATGATCTTGAAAATTAGCCACTAATGCTAATTTAGGCAAGATTTTAAGATTTACTTTTTATTATAATCATCATGGATGATCTAGATCGTCTAGGACGATCAATACAAATCATTTCTAAATTGATCCTGTGATTAGGGGATTAATTATATATGATTAAATTTTTTAATTCGACCGTCTTGGACGATATGTATATCGTATAGGACAATATTTGCTGACATACATAATTCTTCTAAATCGTTTAAGCTGAAACATAATAATTTTTCTTCTAATCATTTTGGATGATCCATAATATTGTCCTGCACGATCTGTACATTTTTATACTAATCGTCCTGGACTATCCAAATATCGTCTAAGACTATCAAGTCAAATTCTGCACATCATACTAGACAATCCTACGATTGTACGGGAAGATTCTAGGCACCAAAATTAAGTTTTTTTAGGATTTTCTAATGCCCTCTTTATAAGTGCATCGTACGGGATGATCCTGCGATCATCCTGGACGATGTTTGGCATTAAAATTGAGTTTTTAAGATTTTTGGAAGCTCTCTTTTTATGCATATCGTACGGGACAATCCAACGATCGTCATGGATGATAATGTCAGATTTGCAAATATATTTAAAGATATCTTGCTTTCTCATGAAGAGTTTCTTTAGCATCCATTGAAGCTTCATTCTTCTGGAGTAAACTTGAAGAGAGAGCTTGAAAGGGAGAGACGAAAGGGTGGAGTTTGAGAGAGGAAGAAGATCCTTGGAGGCAGTTTCAAGGAAGTGTGGAGGGGTTTCCACACGGTTTATCTGGCGAGCTTGCACCTTAGTACCATCAGATTCAAGGCTCGTCGTGAGGGAAGTTTTTGGAAGAAAAAGACCTCTTTAGTGTCAAAGGGTCCGGCTACTCCGCCGCACCGGGGAAGGTGAAAGTGATTTTGTAAGGACTTCTCCACCTAGCTGCGGGGGCTAAAGGAGAGACACTAAGTTTAGTGCAATACTCGGAGGGTGGCTCCGAGGAGTGGATGTTGGTCAAGGTTTGATTGAACCACAATAAATCTGGTGTGTTCTTTCCTTTATTATTTCCGCATTTATTTTCCACACTTTGATTTTCTTTGTAGTGAATCTTTGTTTTGGATGTGATTGTGTTTTTAGTTTTAATATCAAATTCATCCCCCTCTTGGTTAGTCTTGGGACTAGTTCATAAGGGCTTAACAACCCTAATGAACTTTCAAATGCCTTAAGTGCACTTTCAACACCGAGGTTTTCATACCTTAAAGTAGAAATTATTATTTGGATCCCCCTAAGAGGATATCTAGGGATGTAGGATTGGCTAGCCCTAGAATTCCCGCAAAATCTTTTGTATATTTTATAGTGGCCCTAGAAAGAGTGTTAGGTTCACCCAAGATCCAAACCTTCGGTGAGCCCTCAATAAAGAGCTATATTTGATTAAAATTATCAAATTTCCCCAAAGTTTGCTATAGTGATCCAAACTTAACATGGAGATGTTCCCTTGACCATAATTAACCTAATCTCATATTTGGGTTATTTAGAGTCAATATTAATCCTTGGTAAACTTGTTTGACTAAGGTCAATCCGGATTGACCAAAATTATCAAAATTCCCTTATTTGCTAATAATCACGTAAACATACGTTAAACCCAACTCTTTAATCAAGATTTTGAGTGAAATTGATCCATTATCCAACAAGGACTATATTGACCTAATCCCTTGGTAAACCCATATAAACCATATGTTGATCAAAAAACCCAAAATTTCTAAACTACCCCAATAGAACTTATCCTTGATTTCCTAAGACTATTGCTCTTTCGTAGACCATAGGGTTACTTCCAAACTACCCAACCTCAACTAAGGATCATCCTAGCCTTCAACCAACTTATGGTTAGCCGTGATTTACCATGTTTGTGTTAAATTATCAAAATATCCTCCATAGGTCAAACCATGAAATTACTATAATTCAATTAAATCAAAATACACCAAACCCTAATGTAGGACCCTAGGACCCTACCCTAGCTTTCCTAGAAAAACACCTATTAGGCTAACCCAAACTGATTATTTGGGCTAAACACCTAAAATCTAATTCATCCATAATTAAACCAATTTGACCTATGGTAAAGCCTTCCACGAGCCTTTAGAATTTTTTATAAATCTTTCAAGCCTAACTTGTCAGTCGGCTTGCCTAGGGTGACCTAAATTAATCCATGGCTGATCACTCATGAGTCGTATTTCCTTCAGTAGATCAATATAATCCCTCCCTTGCCTGGGGATCAACCTTAAACATTTTTCCAAATCCCATTGGCTCTTCCCAAGTAACCTTAGTTACCGGGGAAGCCTACAAAAATTAAATTCCCACCAAAATTCCCATTTACAAATCCTTTAAATAGCCCAATTTTTAGCCTTAACTTGGTACTCAATTTGGTTTATCAAGCTCCCCTAGTGCAAGAGAGATTGAATCCCATTCTTTTCCACATATTTAATACATGTACCCAACATCAGCGAGAACAAACACGAGTACCTAGTGAGAGGAGGAATAAGTTCAAAGTTTTTATTACAAAATTACTTGTGTCATAAAGATTGTTATTTCCTAATATATATTTTTTAAGACATTTAATTAAAAATTTCTTAATACTAATCTAGTATTTTTTTTTCTTTTTTGAGGTGAGTCGTTTCATTGGTTCCATTTATCACCTGTACCCAAAAAAATAATGGAAGGTTTGCATTAATGATTAAAAGAAAAGAGTATTTTAATGTAACAAATTCGAGCAATTAAATTTACGATTCATTGCTCATCATTTTCAAAAACTCCATAAAAAATACGAAATCTCATTACTTTTGTAAAACTTCCTGTAATAAACTTTATCATATCCAGCAGGTTTGCATTAACTACCATCACTTACAGGTGTTGCGAAACTCGATTATTAGCTTGAAGACATTAGCGCATGTATATAAACCTTTATTTATACTTAGTCCTAGAAGATTAATTCAATGTTGGCATTAAATTGATGTGATCACAATATTCAAAAATGAGAAAGTTCATTGATGTCATAAGCCCGTTGGTGGATTTTTCGCCTCCGTTCATATTGACTCGCCTCCCTTCAAGAAGACTATTTTCATGGGTGCTCAGCTTTCATCTGATTCTTAGACATTCTACAAACACTAAAGAGGACATCAAATTGAAGTCTACTTCCAGAAAAGGAATTTACCATGTTTACTCCGGAAAGCAGAAAAGATTGGCACGATATTTTAGTGTCAATTCTAGGAAATCCCCGCCGTCAAAACTTCAGAACATAAGATTCCACGAGGATGACTGTCGAAGCAATCTCAACCAACAAACCTTACATGCTTCGCATAACTTATCCACAACCTAAACAGATGATTTATATGCCTGATTAAAACAAATGCTGAACAAAAAACCGAATCTTGCACGCAATCCCCTTTGGAAAACGACAACCAGACTCAAACAGATAGGCAAGCAAAACCATGTATAAAATGCTAGCCTCTCTCAGATTTAAGTACATAAGCTATCTCCTCATCCTCCCCGACGATGGCGTCGCAGAACCTCGCGAAGCGCTGGCGCGAACTAAACGGGAAGAACAATTGGGAAGGCCTTTTGGATCCTCTTGACCCCGACCTCCGCGAACACATCATCACCTACGGCGAACTATCGCAGGCCGTCTATGACGCATTCAATGACGACGAAGTGTCGCGCTTCACCGGCGCGCCGCGGTACGCGCGCCATGACTTCTTCGACAAAGTGTTTCTCAAGGCTGGTCGGCCGTACAGCTACACGGTGACAAAGTTTGTGTACGCGACTACAGGTGTGGAGCTGCCGGGAGGGTTAATACTGAAGTCCCAGGCAAAGGATTGGAAGCTGCAGGAGTCGAATTGGATGGGCTATGTGGCTGTGGCGACTGACGAAGGAACGGCGGCGTTGGGCCGGCGGGACGTTGTGGTGGCATGGAGGGGAACGGTGAGGCCGCTCGAGTGGGTTAATGATTTTGAGTTCGTGTTGGTCCCCGCCGGTGATATTGTGGGGTCCAGTCAACCAGACGTTGGAAACGGTGGCAAGGAGCCAAAAGTATACTTGGCATGGAAGTCTATTTACACTTCGGAGAATCCAAAGTCGCCCTTCAATGGGACATTACATATTATGAAATAAAGTTTTATGTATAAAATTCCCTTATAACTTTTATTTTAAAAAATAATAAGATATTATTAAATTAATTATTTAATGGGTTATTCTTATATATTATGATTGATACTAAACTTCTCAATTTTTTTAAAATTTCTCTAAAAATAAAAATTTAATTTTGAAAATATTAATTCTAATTATTTAAAGTATTCTTTTATTTTAAATAAAATCAAATGGATCAGATATATGGAATTTATTTTAGTTAGCTAATTGGCGCCACCTCCAAGCAAGATAAAATAACTGGTTAAAGCAAGTATTAACAAATATGGCATAATACGCCTACCTCAGCTGTGCCGTATTTGGTTATCAAAAGCAAGATGACCTAATCGCATTTATAATACAATACAGCCACATCTAACACATGAAGCAAACCTTCTGTAGTATTTTTATTTTATATGGGAAGTAGCTGAAAGTAATCTATTCAATAAATCAAGCATCTATTTTAAATGTGCAAAACAATTCGACTTTCAAAGATCAAATTAATTAACTGCAGTGTTTGTGCTTTCTTCGGTATGAAAATTTTTTAGCTTAATATATTCTTCAAAATATTTAAATTAGAATGCCAGGTAGCTATCAACTTGTCTCATTTACCTAAACTTGCTGCCTGCACGCAAATATAAATTAGAGATAGTTGCTGATCGAGATAAATAAATTTTTATTCAAATATATGACAGACTTTTTCTTTTCATTATAGGACAAATTAAGGCTTTGTTTGGGATGACTTTTTTACCGCTTCTTAAATCAGCTTTATAGTACAATAATTATATTAAGGCTTCGTTTGTTATGACTATCTTACTATTTTTTAAAATAATTTTTTAGTACAAAAATTAAAATTTGCGTGTTAAAAATTTGTTTTATGAAGCGGTAAGAAAGCCGTCCCAAATGAAGTCTAAGACACCACTTTGAAACGGCTTTTTTATTATTTTCTAAGTTCAAAAATTTGTAAAAAAATTGTTCTAAAGGGAGTTTTTTTTTCTTTTTTTTGAAAAATTTACATAACCATGTGACAAACTTCAAGCAAACGAACATCGCGCCTGTGTGAGAAAAACATTTGGAAAATATTCCATTGTCCTTTAAACTTAAATCATAATGCACAGTTAGCCACCCCTTGCACCTCTAGTGTGTATATCTATTGTCTTTGTCCTTGTTGGCAAGACTAGCTACACCATGCAAGCAAAATCATCGTTTCTTTTTTGCATGATTATAAATGATCGAACTATTACAGGCATGGAAGATATACTTTCAGCTTAAACGGCTATCAACAATCATTTTTCCTTCTCCAGGTTCTTAAAGAAATAAGAAGGCTAATCGACTTGTACCAAGACGAAGAAGTAAGCATAACTGTTACAGGACACAGCCTCGGTGCCGCCCTTGCCGCAATCACATCTGTGGACATCATCACCCATGGACTCAACAAGCCAACTGGTCGCCCTGACTTCTCCGCTCCTGTCACCGCCATTGTCTTCGCGAGCCCTCACGTCGGCGATGCCTCATTCAAGAAGGCATTCGATGACCTTGCACCTGACCTCAGGCTGCTTCGCATCACTAATAGCCCCGACTTAGTCCCTAAGTATCCCCTTATAGGATATGCAGACATTGGCACTGAACTTGTCGTCGACGCGCAAAAGTCGAAGTTCTTGAAGTCTCCCGGCGGGCCTGTGGGGTGGCATAGCCTAGAAGCCTATATGCATGGTGTAGCAGGAACTCATGGGAGTAAAGGAGAGTTCAAGCTAGAAGTGGATAGAGACATAGCCCTACTTAATAAGTATATTGATGCAGTGAAGGACGAGTACATGATTCCGGTTTCTTGGTGGGTGGAGAAGAATAAAGGGATGGTTCAGGGTGAAGATGGGCATTGGAGATTGCAAGACCATGAAGAAGACAATGATGACATTTTTATGAAATTATTGTTGTAGGACACGTGGGAGAAAATAATGTGATATAGTGAAAGTTTGTTAAATTTCTTAAAATGATGTAAAAAGAGATTATCAAGCAATTTTTAACTAAATGTAATAAAATTATTGAGGATATGGGCCATGTAATAATTAATATATATTTATTATTGTTGGCAATATTTCGAAATAAGGGTAGATTGGAGGCATGTAATGGGCTATAGAGATTTCGGATAGAAGAACAATTTTATCAATAAACTTATGTTGAGTAGTTTTCAACTTGAGTGTACAACATCATGGCATTCCTATTTATAGGTATGAAAGCTCAATCTAGAGACTTCTATTATATAGCAAATCTAGTGTCTTATGTAATTATTACAAATATCTTAGATTTTTCAACTACTCTAGAGTCTTCTACATTGTACAAGATTTTAGAATACTCTAGAATAATTGAGAAATAAGCATCAAGTTTTATCACTCCTCCTTGTTGGGAATTTTGATAACTCCAATAATGTCACACAATTGCTCAAACTTTCATAAATATTTTAGTGCTTGAGTTAATTTCCTCGTTGCTCTCAGCTTCTCTGATGAAGAGATATTTGATGCCAATGTGTTTGGTTATGCCATGAAATATAGGATTATTTTTTTCATTGCAGTAGCTGATTTGCTATCACAAAAGATTTCTATAGATTTGTCTTGTGGTTCAACCATATCTTCAAATATGTGTTTTAGCAATATAGCTTGACTTGTAGTTGTTGTTGCTGCAATATATTCAGCTTTAGCTGATGATTGTCCCACTAATTCTTACTTTTTTTAATCCCCAAGAAAATTTATCAGTGCCCAGTGTGAAATCATATTGACACCGGACCATGTAGGGGCTCGACGAATCGACGTCGACAATCCGATGACGGTCGCCAGACACCGCTCCAAGAACTTCTTGGAGGAAAAGATCCACCACCTAAGAATCACTCTTAGGATACAGGAAACACATGAGACTAAACTCACATCATATTCATATCTCCAAATATGACTATTACAAGTGTTGGTTATGTATTTATAGCCAAAAGAAGCAACATACTAGGCTACACAAACAAGAGAAAGCATAACACCTATATAGCCATACAAAATATCATATGAAATTAAATGGCTCTGAAGTTCAACATGATCAACGGCTCAGCTCCAGCGTCATACTACCGGGGTAGGAGGAACTTCAGGCCCATAGCAAGATGTATGATTGGCCACCATAAGGAGGTGAATTTGGTTGGCTAAACCAGTCTGCATAGGTCCATCCAATGTCCATTTGTCTACCAACCTTCAATATCTCAAGAGTAGCATAAGCAGATGGATTAACTGTGATTATGAAAGCATCTTGGACCAAAGGTGTTTCTTTCAGCCATCTAGAGGAGAAGATAAGAGCTTCACGATCCAAACCACTGAGGAGATCTTTATATGTAATTTTTTATCAATGATGGTGAGCGTAACTGTTGTCTTGTTTGGAACATTGTGAATGAATAGTTCCGGTTGGATATTTGGCTCTGGCAGGTTATCCATTTTGCCCTCATCATCATCATATGCGAGTTGATCAATATCAAGAACTCCACCGAACATGTCGTCATCATACACGTCGTACACCGGCTCATCATAGAGAGGAAAAGACGATGAATTAGACAATGGATCTTCAATTTCTTCGAAGCTGAACTCGATCGAGGGTGGGGTGGATGAGATTTGATCATCTAAAATGCCCTCGTCGTCATCGTCGGTTTGTAAGGATCTTCGTTCAATCCTTGACAATTGTAGTTTGAGTCGGGCGATTTCTTGTAGGAGGTTTTCAATTTCTGCTTCTTGCAGTGGACTTTGATGATTTCGACGAGGTGACAATCTTGTCGAGGAAATAATCACCACTTGGACCTTTGCCCAAGATATAGAAAATGAAAATAAAATAACCTACAGGAAGAAGAAAGCACCCTTCTTAGCTTCTGGACCGCCCTTCTTGACTGCTGGAAGGAGAAAGAAACTGCCAACAAAAATCACTCCCAGCTTTCTTCCGGGACGGACAAGATGGTTGAGGCAGGCGGCGATGGAAAAACTCTTCTTGAGCCCGGCGGCGACGGCAAAACTCCTCTTGAGCCCGGCGGCGACAGCGAAAAGCAAAACTCCTCTTGAGCCCGGCGGCGACTGTGAAACTCTTTTTGAGCCTTGGCGAGGAACTCTGGTCATCTTGTGCGGAGAAACCTTGGATAGGTTCGCTAGAAGAGAAAACCACCACCATTTTGGAATAGTGGAAATTCAAGAATGGTCTCCATTGGAATGAAGGCTGAGTTGGAAATTTTCATGCTATCTTTAAGAATCAGATTGCAATCCAGCAGAAGATCTGAAACAAGATTTGGGCAGTTGGAATCAGCCCAACAGCTGGCTGATATCTTGCTTTTCTTCACCGAATCAACGGATGTACTAATTCCAACAAACTACTGTTTGCAAGAGTGAAAGAATGGCTAAAGGAAACGTCAGTGGCATCCAGCATGCTATGGCCTTTTCAGAACAAGAATTGTATCTTGTTCATAACACCATGGACTCAATTCCTTCTGTCCTGTAAATAAGAATTTTAGTGCTTTCTTGCGGTTTGATGTCGGAGCTGAACCTGTCGGACCTTGAACGACCTCCGACTTGGCTTCTTCCGCCAGTTCTTCTCTTCACCACCTGAGGACTTCTCAGGATACAGAGCAAGAAGAACCAGTTAGCTCTGATACCAAATGACACCGGACCATGTAGGGGCTCGACGAATCCACGTCGACAATCCAGTGACGGTCGCCGGACACCGCTCCAAGAACTTCTTAGAGGAAAAGATCCACCACCTAAGAATCACTCTTAGGATACAGGAAACACATGAGACTAAACTCACATCATATTCATATCTCCAAATCTGACTATTACAAGTGTTGGCTATGTATTTATAGCCAAAAGAAGCAACATACTAGGCTACACAAACAAGAGAAAGCATAACTCCTATATAGCCATACAAAATATCATATGAAATTAAATGGCTCTGAAGTTCAACATGATCAACGGCTCAGCTCCAGCGTCACATATCATAATGTGCTCTTTATATCATCCAATGATCCTGCCCAACCACTATCATTATATCCCATTAAATTTGAGTTGGGAGTAGATTCATACCAGATACCATAATCATTTGTTCGTTACAAATATGTATGTATTCTTTTAGTTGCTCCTTAGTGATGCCATGGGCTTTGCATCAATCTTGAAATTAAACTTGTTGCATGCATAATGTCTGGTCTTCCAGTTGTTAATTAAAGAAAACTTCTAATGAGACTTCAATAGTTTGTACTGTCTACCTTTGGTGCATTGTCTTCTTTCATGAGTGCCTTGTTGTCTAATGGAGTAGCTACTATCTTGGAACCATTCATTTTAAATTTATTAGTAGACCTTCTATATACTTGTTTTGTGAGATAAAGATCCCATCTTCACTCTGGTTTACTTCTATCCCAAGAAATTTGTGTATCAGACCTAAGTCAGTCATTTTGAATGTCTTCATCATATATTCTTTAAAATCCTCCATCATCCTCTCATTATTTCCTGTATAGATTAGATCATCCACATATTGGGAGAGAATGAGTATATTGTTTATACCTTGAGTCTTAATGTATAGTGTTGGCTCACTTTTGCTCCTCTTGAAACCTTGCTCTTGGAAGTAGCTGTCAATTTGATTACACCAAGTTCTTGGAGCCTACATTAACCCATACAAAGCCTTTTTTAGATCTTCTTTTCCATTTATAATAAATCATTGAGGTTATTCTACATAGATCACTTTTTTTGGATAGCATTTAACAATGTTAACTTGACATCTAGTTGATAGATCTCTGATCTCTTTTGTGTTAAAAGTGTTATCAGAGCTCTTATTTGTCAAGTCTAACAACTAGAACAAATGTATTATTGTAGTAAACTCCAAACTGTTGTGAAAAACCCTTAGCAACTAGTCTTACTTGTGTCTTTTATTTAATTCGTATGGCTTGAGCTTTGTCTTGAAGACCCATTTTACTATAATCATCACTTCCTTGTGGAGAGTCGACTAACTCCCATGTCTTCTTCTTCTCAATCATTATTATTTGTTCTTCTATAGCTTTTCTTCATACTTCTTGTTTTGAGACTTCTTAAAAGCTTTATGGCTCTATGATTGAAAATTTATAATACTCATAAATCTCTACTAGGATTTTGTTCTTCTAGGCGGTGATTCTGAATATCTAACTTGAGCTGGCTCTTGAGTTGGCATTCTAGTTGGATTATTGATCTCTTCAACTTGTTGATGTGTTGATGGCAACAAGTTGTTACTCTTTCTTTCAACTTTTTCTGTCTTCCCATTATATGTAGCATCTTCATCAAATTCCACATCCCGATTAATGATAAGTTTCTTTGTTACAAAGTTATAGAGTCAATATCCTTTATATTGAATTCTATAACCTAAGAAAATTTATTTTTCTGATTTTTCATCTATCTTACTCATCGTTTATTGTGAACCTTTACATATGGCTTTCTTCCACTCTAAGCCTTAATTGGTGTCTTTTCTTTCACTGCTTTAATTATAAATTTATTTATAAGATAGACTGCATTATATACAGCCTCAACCCAGAAGAACTTTGGAAGACCTTTATCCATCAACATGGCTCTAGCCATTTCCATTATTGTCCCATTCTTCCTTTAAAATACACCATTTTTCGTTGATGTATATCTGACTATGAGTATCCATTACACACCTTCTTCTTCATAAAACTTATTAAACTCTTTTGAGATATAAAATTTTCCTCTACCACTTATTACCATCTTCAAATGGTGATCGCTTTTCTTTTCAACTTCAGTCTTAAATTTCTTGAAAATCTAAAATACTTAAGATATTTCATGCATGAAGTAAACCCATGTCATTATTTTGTAGTCATATATGAAAAAAATGAAGGGCCTATTTTACTAAAATGATGGAGCATGAATTGACCCGCAAACATCTGTGTGGATATGCTATAGTGGCTCCTTAGCTCTCCATACTTCTCATGATGGAAATGGTTGTCAATGTTGTTTACCAAGGACGCGTCCTTTAAAAACTTCATCAATCTCCTTTATTATTGGGAGATTTTTTTTAACATAATCTTCTAATGAAGAATCTTTAGCCTATGGAAGTTGAAATGCCCAAGGTGCTTGTGCCATACTAGTGACTCTTCTACTTGTACCTTTATTGCAATTTCACTTGTATATCTCCACTGAATTAGAAAGAACCAAATCTCTTTCATTATGACCTTTGCTATTTTAGGGGATTTATCTTACTTGTCATAAATTTTTTAAGTATTTCCCTCAAAATACAAAAAATATACTTTTTCCATCATTTGGCTCACAGTGAGTAGATTTTGATCGATGTTAGGAACCAAAAGTAAATCATTGATGTATCTCATTCCCTTTTTTGTGTCAATGGCAATGGTTCCTTTACTTGTTGTCTCCATGAAGTCACCATTTCAAATTTTAACCGTATTAGAAATTGTAACTTTGCAGGCTCTCATTTGGTTAACTATTTCTTTTATTTTAGAGAAATAGTCTTTTGTGGTCTCAATATCATTCATTTTGATATTATTAAAATCTCATTTTTGATTATGCATCTTGATGGAGCGTACCTTCTTAGTTCCTTGAAACTCCTCTTGCAATGTATCCCATGTTTTTTTAACAAACGTTATGCCCGATACATGGAAAGATTTCATCAGTCATTGCTTGTTATAAGGCAAAAAATGCTTAAGAATCCTTTTGTTGATTTTCATTAAGCACCTTCCGTTGATTTACTGAAAGAATTTTCATATCTTCAATAGCATTGAATCATTCATCAACAATCTTCCACAAATTTTGGGAGAAAAAATATTTCTTCATTTTGATGGACCAAAAATCATAATTTTCTCTATTGAAGATTGGAATTAGAATGGTAGAGTGATTGGAGTTTTTCATTAGGTCTTATACAAGATTTCTACAATGCCCAATGAGTGAGGCTCTCATACCAAATATTTGAAATGTTTTTGAAGATAGGTAGATTATAAGCAAGCAATGGGCAATGGAGAATTTACATAAAAGAACAATTTTATTAATGAAGTTTTGTTGAGTAGTTTTCATCTTGAGTATACAAAATCATGGCATTTCTATTTGTAGGTATGAAAGCTCGATCTAGAGACTTCTATTACATCACAATTCTAGAGTCATATATATCTAATTATTACAAATATCCTAGATCCTTCTATTACTCTAGAGTCTTCTACATTGTACAAGATTTTAGAATACTCTAGAATATTTGAGAAATGAGCATCAAGATTTATCTTTTTTTATGTAGAATAAGTTGATTGTTTACAAAATTATGAAGCATAGGAACTAAAAATTTGAAGAAGGCAACAACACATCTTTATTGAGAAGTTATAGGGTATAGGAATGCAAGAAGATGTGAAAAGATATGTTTTTTTCATATTTGTTGTATTTATTTTATTGGTATAGGGAAGATCATGAACCATCTTTTTTCCATAAAAAGATGCAATAAATTATTGCATATTCTGAGTTTGTAATAACAAATAAAAATTCATCATCACTTTAAAAAATTGGGTCATCTTAGAAATTTTAAGTCTATTATGGAAAGGAACCACACTTTTAAGCATTAGTTATCCATTATATTGGATTATTTTTGGTCTTACTTTCATATGTGCTCTTATATACAAATTAGAGCTATCTGTCCTGTTTTCTCTAATGGGTGTTCCTTTAATGAAGGAAGTGGTTATCTTCATATGCAATTTTGAAACAAGATTGTAATTCTCTAAAGGTAGTTATTGTGTCTTAGGGTGATCCATTTTATTTTTTTCATTTTTTTGCACTTACATCATGTAATTATGAAATCAAACTTAAAGGTCAATTGAAAATTTTAGATGATATATTTAAATAATTTTTATTTAGATTTCTTGATTTATTCCATACCGTTAGAATGTGTGGGAAAATAAGGCCACACTCTTTCAATGTGCTCTCCAATTTTTTAGATAGAATACTACATTATTAATAACGTATTATCTCGAGAGGCAAAAATAATATTCTGTAATGGGTTTAAGGATAAAAATTAATAGAATATTAAAAAATAATTATTTTTATGATGAAATAAATTCTAATAATGACATATCATCTCAAGAGGTGAAGATGAGATTTAATAAAGTATTTGAAAAGAGAAATAAGG